CTATAACGTGCAAGGGCATCATCTTCTATATGACGTCACGTGACGTAGAACCGGGTGAAGAGCTTCTGGTCTGGTATGAGGACGGATTAAGGAGGTTTTTAGGGGAAAACCGTATACATCCGGGTAATTATTCAATCTATCACTTCAGATACCTTGATTAACTGGGAGATTTTTAGGGGTAAACTGTATAATTCCGGGTAATTATGCTATGTATTTATCATATACCTTGATTTATTGGGAGGTGTTTAGGGGTAAACGGTATAGATCCGGGTAATTATACAATTTATCACTTTACATACTTTGATTTCTTGGGAAGTTTTTAGGTTAAACGTGTACATTCGGGTAATTATACTATCTATAACACTATACTATCTATAACATCATATTTTTAAGGGATAAACCGCCTAAATCCGGGTAATTAATAACTCCTTCATCACATCTTTAAGTTCCTTAGCAAACGTTTTATAAACCTTATATTATGATATTTTAATAAAATTCTCTAATTTGCAACTGCATAGAAGTAGGAACTGCTTTTTATCTATATTAATGAATAAACTCCTTATATTTTTTTCTTTTTTTCTCTCTTTTTTTGCATTCCACAAATTTAAATTTTAGAACTTTTAGTTTACTAGCTTCATTGAAATCTGGAAACAGAGATTATTGCAGTGTATGAAATTTGTAATTTTTCAATTGTTTTTTCCATTTAAAAGACTTGGTTATGGTTTCAAACACCATCCAACGATACTTATTTTCCTTTGTTCTTCAAATTGAATCTTAGTTATGCCTAGACTGGCTTATGCTAACATGTATGAGAAAATTGTACTTTTTACCTAGGTCGCAAATGGGATACTTTCCCTTTGAACATCTGTTGGTTTTCGATACATAAGTTCAATTTTATCGATTTATAAGTTTTTAAAGGATATGGGTGTAGAACAGCAAACAAATTATATAAATGGAGTTTAGAACGTTTATATTTTATGAAAGAGATATCGGTATTTCAATAATGATAGTATTTTGTTTCCTTTTTTCTGCAGAAAGTGATCTCAATGGCTCTTTTGCATTCCGTGCCAATGTTTTGACATTTGACGACAATGAAAGACTAATTTTTGATAATTGGACACCTGTGACGTATCAGAACTGGAATCCAAACGACGAGGTTGAGTCGGCAGTTAACCCTATCTTTGGCGTCCTTTTGACTTATCATAATGACGGTAGGTGGCGCTGGGCTACTGAGAGGAATTACACGTACTATACAGGAGAAGACGGACTAAAACTTCCCTTTATTTGTGAGGATTCTCCATTTTATTTGGAACCGGAAGGGTGTTCTTTTACGTAATGTTTCATTTTTTAAAATGAAAATAAAATTCTGCCACCATTATATTTTTATCATTGAAACAATGGCAGTGTTAGACTAGTCAGTAAAAAATGTAAATAATTGATAGAATCTTCTAAATATGATGTAGTATATTTTTCTGGGAGGAGATTTATCCTCAAGTTTTTAGATAAAATATGGATAGCATATAGACAAAATGTACAACGTGGCGTCTCGTTATCTTTGCACTTCTTCATGGAAACTTATATTCAGATCTCTTCTTTCCAAAGAAAAAAAAACTTAACACGAAGTGTTATTATCAATTTTATACAACCGTAATCGAAGACTCGGGGACATATATTTTTTGCTCTGACCGTCGGTCTGTCAGTCTGTCTGTCTGTTGGTCAGTTTATCTGTTTGTCTGTTAGTCCGTAAAAATTTTAACCTTACCCATAACTTTTGATTAGTTTGAGGTATGGCTTTTATTTCTTTCAGGTGAATTCCGTGTGAAAAGACCTTTCCTAGGGTAAATATATATATATATATATATATATATATATATATATATATATATATATATATATATATATATATATATATATATATATATATAGATAGATAGATAGATAGATAGATAGATAGATAGATAGATAGATAGATAGATAGATAGATAGATAGATAGATAGATAGATAGATATAGATATGTTTGACATTTTGACCTTGATCTTGGAGTTTGACTACTTAAAAAAATAACCTTGGACATATATATTGAACAGTTAAATCACGTAATTGTATGCTCAAAATGTTCATTTCTTTTGACAAGACATTCTCTTGGGTACCAACAATATGGAACCTTTCACCTTGACCTTATGAGTTTGACCTACTTTTGAAAATTTTTAACCTTGGCTATACCTTTTTGAATGGTTAGTGCTAGGGCTTTAACATTACTTAGTTTCATTCTTGTTGCAAAAGCTTTCCTCGGGAACCAACAATTTTGACCTTTTGATCTTGATCTCAGACTTTCACCTACGTTTAAAAAATCTTCATCTCGTCAATAAGTTTTGAATTGTTGATTGTATGACTTTCATATTTCACCAGTGTATTTTTTGTGCTTCTTTGGATTTTATTTATTTTGACCCTTTGATCCCTTGAGTTTGATTTTTTTTTACTTTATGCAATATAATTAAATAGTTGGTACTTTTATGGCTTTTGTATTTCACAGTTGTATTCATTGTGACGAGGCCTTTTGGGGGTTGGGGGTTCGGGGGTGGGGGTATCAACAATTATGATCTCTTTACCTCGGCCTTGGTGTTTGACTTGCAAATGACAACCTTCGCTATAAGCTGTTTCAGGTAACAGTGACGTTAAATATTAATCTTCATTTTTTCTGCAAAATTATAATTTAACAAGAGTTTGCATCAAAACAAATATTGCTAAGTGTATTAATGAATTATATTTGACCATCCTTTCAAAATACTGCACGGAAGGCACAACGCGGGTATGTTAAGGCTACACCCAGAGATATACTACTTGCCTCTACAATATGACGTCATAGTAAGCTGTATGACGTGAAGTTTAGAAATAATGACTTCTTAATATCTATATTTTAAGTTTAATTTCAGGTCCAAGAAATGAACGGAATCATTCAAAAGCATAATATAAACAAAATCATGTCGTTTTTGGGTGGTATAAACAGCTAAGTATTTATCACAGGGGTTAAATACCAAACCCATGACGTCATAACTATTAATCAAATTTTTGCCGAGTGAAAATTAAACGTGACGAGAAGTCATGTAAACAAATATGTAAAATGGGAGTTTTAAAGCATATACCGTGAATGTTATGTGTGATTCATGTCACAGGGTGAATAAATTATTATTATGATAAATATTATATGTATGATTGATTAATAAATGACCTTATCTACTAATCATCGTTTCATTATCTTCATCATTATTTTCATCTATAAAGCATAGTGAATTACAGTCCTCTGGAATTTTCTATGTGTTCATTCATAAAATATCTCATTCATATTCATGGGGTTGAATGCTCATTGGTGGATTTAGGAGTGTGAAAGGTCAAAGGTGTTTGTGTCAGAATGGGTGAGACTTGGAGTTGTATGATTGGTTGATATTTTAGAGTGAGAAGTGTGTGAGTGGTTTTACTAGTTTGGTATTAGGTGCGCATGCTTGGCGCCAAATACCCTAACTATTTCACTCCACCCTAGGACAGCCAGGAGTAAGGAAGAATTCCTCTCCTACTCCACAAAGTCTATCATTTTATAATGTGGACAATTTAACTGCCTATTCGGTAAGAACTTTTACCACCGTTGCTTTGAATAAATTAAATATCTTATCAAATAATTATCTACTTAAAGATAATTACATTGGAAAAGTTAAAATATATTAAAGTAATTTAATGTGTGAGTGTATAGGTATGAGAGTGTATTCATTTATTTTCATTACTGTTATTGTTACAGGTCACCTTTTTAGTCTTACCATGAAATTGAAAAATATATAAATCGAACCCAACAGCTGTTTTCATTGTTATTATTAAAAAGGAGTAACAAATAAGTTACGGCTGTGACATTCATAAGGAATTAAAGATTAAGAATCAGGTATGCTGATATATTCTAATCATGTTTTCCTATAATGAACACAGGCAGTGCTTTAAAATCCCGATCAGCCTTTCCTCTGTCGTTCTATAACAACAAAGTTGCAAAAGTTCAACACTACGCCGCATACTTTGAAACATAATTTTTGTTTGTATCGAAAGCTTGTATTCTATAGTACTTGGAAAATGCTGCTAGAATCGTGTGATTAACATGAATTGATGACAATTCCTTGATCGTTTGTACAAAATGTAATGATTTTGGTAAGGTTTCATGCGAAACTTTGGAATAATTTTTTCTGTGTCGGGAGAGTAGGATTCTAGCAGCACTTTTCATGATCCAGTGATGTTTTTACATAATTATTTTCACAAAAAGAATTGAATTATCCCCGGGGTAGTGTTGAACTTTTTACTTTTTCATTAAGACAATTTTTCTATTTATAGACGTCACGTGATGACGTCGTAGTGGAGTGCTACTCAATGACGTCTATACAATGGATAATTATAGTAAATGTTTTATCTATGGCTTTTCCGATTTATCAATGTTACATTTTACGAAAAAAGTCTAAATTCGCCGAAATATGATCTGGGTACTGCCTTAACATACCTGCGAAGATGGGGGATCTCTCTTTAGAGAAACTTAGTCTTGGATATATTGTACTACAAAATATGAACATCAAATGGACCTGATTGTGTTATAAAATATCTTTAATACAATGAAACCTGTTTTATCCGACATACACTGGGAGAAAAATAAACATTATGTAGGTTTTCACAGTGTAAAGATCATGGAAATTAGTAGAAATGAGAATGAAATTTAATGTCGGAATTCACAGATTGTACAGGTGTCGGAGAAAACAGTTTCCACTGTAAAACGTTTATTATAGACCAATCTTTCTCCTAATTATCCGTCCAGGCATCTTCATGTGGCAGTGGTCGTAAATAAGAACGAAATATTTCTAATTTCCAATTTATTACAACATATATTATGTACAGATTTAACTGGATACATTCAGTAAGGAAGATTAATAAAACTTTATTGCTTCAGCAAATAGTTCAACCACAAAACCCCCTCAAAATACAATCCATTACAAGTTTTCTCTCTTAATATATAACATTATTTAAAAAAAAAAAAAAAAAAAAGAATGAATAGAATCCCATGATAAATTTAATACTGTCTCTTTTATCAGAATTTTTTCATCTGATTAATTGGCGGTCCTCGTCAATTTGAGGCCTGGTCCCTCAATTTTGAATGTTCATCTGTTGAGAAAAAATTAAAAGTATTAAAATGTTTAAGAAAAATAAAAGGGTATGTTTTATAAAAAAAAAATAAAAGAATTAAATAATGTTTTATAAAAAAAATAATAATAATAATTAAATAATGTTTAAGACAAATAAAAGGGCATGTTTTATACCTCGTACAAATTTTCTAATAACCGTTTAAAATGTTCAAGGAAATACCAAAGAGTAAATACAGGATATTATTAAAATTTAGTGTTGTTTACCTAGTGACGTTTGATTAACATCATGGTCTGCATCACATTTGCTCCATTCTGTACTGTAGGATACCATGGTGCCCACCAGTCTGTCAGGGACCACTGACCGTTAAGGAAGGCGTTGTGACAGCGGTTAAACCACCTGCCTCCTCTTTTGTTACGGTGAGCAGCACAGTTACCACTACTATACCTGTCGTTATCTCTGTCTGGTGTAGTAAATGACATCCCAGACAGATCGTAGCGAGAATCCCCCGTGTTTAACATAATGTCACCTGTAAAGAAAATACAACACAGAGAAAATAGATAGATTGATTTAAGCATTGAATCGTTATTTTATGTAAGATTTAGTCTCATAACTGCAACGGTGTGTGCAAACAAGTTGTGTATCGGGCGTTAGCGCTTATATTTACATTTTAACTCATGGCCTTGACTGCAAATTTGATTTAGATTTCAAAATCCCTGTATTATCCTTAGGGTAAGTTACAATTAATGGAAGAAACATTGCAGCAGATTCTGTTCAATGTTAGCCAGAATTTTGATTTTGATTTTCATTTATGACGTAGCATTTCCACGGCGTTCAACGTTTGTGACGTCAAAATAAAACGCATACTTTAACCTTTTGACCCCCTGTCCATGTTATGGTGTTTTGAATGCCGTATATTTTCTCACACTTTATAAGCAAAATACATGTCGAATATCAATATATTACATTAATTTTTTTGTCAATAATACTGACGTACATCTAAGATAGACGGCTTCTCGTGCTGTCTTCTTTAAATAGCGATAATATTTGTTTAAAAAAAACAATAAAAACGCTGTGCAATTTATAAGGCATCCTTTCTAATGGAACAATAAACTCCAGGCGTGATATACTTTTAACGTATGATTAAAAAAAAATAAAACAAAATAATTGTACTAATAGAGACCTTGCCTTTAAAATGTTAAAATGCAATACGAAGCAAATCATTCAAAATAATAACAAGGTAAGAAATGATGTACCTGTAAATATTTTAAAATATTAGATTTTCATTTTATATAGAATAGGTATCGTAAAGGTGTAATGCGTTGCGATTTTTTGGAATTTTAATGTTTATTTATTTGACTATGTTACGGCTCAAATCATATTCTTTCAACATCGAGCTTTCGGGAACATGTCATATTATATATCAATTACGCGCCGTAAACTTCCTATTCCGTAGTAGTTCAAAATATAGATTATTCAAAAAAGAAACAAAAAACACACACACAAAGATTAATAACAATGGCGGATCAAAGGTTGCAACTGAATATGCTAATCAAAAAAGATTAATATAATTTTCTTGTGTTTTAAATTTCCAACTACTAAGCAGTGAGAAATTCAATTTCCGCGGAATTCGTAAATTATATCTACGAATGATATCGTGAAATATTAAAATCTTGGAACTAGAGACGTTTACGGAATATTAGAAAAAAATATATCTGTATATTTTTTCAACAACTTAATAATTTTTCTATGCATAGAAGTATATAATTCTATACTTGATTCGTAATTAATTTTAAGAACTTAACTTAATTACACGTACCTAAGGTTCCCGTGGCAGGTCCTGCTAGAAAGAGTTGATATTTCTCTGTTTCACTGGAAACAGAGAATCGATCGTACATTTCATACAGCGTTGTACCATTTTGGAGAGTGATGGACACATAAAGGAATGTGTTCTTTTCTTTTGTTAACTGATGTATTACGTCATTTCCTGCATTAAGATATATTTGAAATCCACTGTAAAGTCTATTGCAATACAATAATTCTATTTTAGATATGAATATACATTAATGAAAAATCAAATTATTTTCCTAAGTTTTAGACATTGATGCTAAATTTGGTATCTTTCAAAGACCATACCGCTTACTGATGTAATCCTCTCGCTCTCATTTGTTTTCCTTTTTATATCAGATTGCAAATAAACCTGATGAGTGAGTATTGTCATGAACATATAATCCAGACTTACAATCAGATGTTTGATGTGATTCCATTTTTTATTTGTCACAGTAAAGCAATTTTGGAAAATTTGGAAGCAGATGAAAGTCCTTATTTGATAGTGATTTACACTTACTAACCCAGACATTCTGTTCAGGTGAACCGAAACCATTTTTATAATTTGTCCAACTCCTGTCAAAACTCAGAGATCCGTTTAGGCGTTTTTGGACTGCCTTTCAAAGTGAAGAACATATATAGCAATACAATTCATTGTTTCAAACAATTGTATGATCAATATGTTATGATATAAACTAAAAATATTCATATCTTATTATTCTTTATTCTTTTTAACAACGGAATCACTAAATATGAATTACATAATGCACCCTAATTTTGAAATGTATAAATACGGTCCATCTTCCGTCCTTTATGTCCATATCACAGTACACTCTGACAGGACTGGTATTGTAATATAGTAATAATCTACACACCGTCCATCCTCCGTCCATTGTCTCCACATCACAGTAAACTCTGACAGGAGTGGTAATGTAATATAGTAATAATCTACATACGTCCATCCTCCGTCCATTGTCTTCATATCACAGTAAACTCTGACAGGACTGGTAATGTAATATAGTAATAATCTACATACCGTCCATCCTCCGTCCATTGTCTCCATATCACAGTAAACTCTGACAGGACTGGTAATGTAATATAGTAATAATCTACATACGTCCATCCTCCGTCCATTGTCTTCATATCACAGTAAACTCTGACAGGACTGGTAATGTAATATAGTAATAATCTACATACGTCCATCCTCCGTCCATTGTCTCCATATCACAGTAAACTCTGACAGGACGGGTAATGTAATATAGTAATAATCTACATACCGTTCATCCTCCGTCCATTGTCTCCTTGTCACAGTAAACTCTGACAGGACTGGTAATGTAATATAGTAATAATCTACATACGTCCATCCTCCGTCCATTGTCTCCATATCATAGTAAACTCTGACAGGACTGGTATTGTAGTATAGTAATGATATACATACCGTCCATCCTCCGTCATTGTTACCATATCACAGTAAACTCTGACAGGACTGGTAATGGTTCCATAGGGATAAATTTGATACACTCCTGAATTAGTGTGACCATCTTTATGTAGATCCTTACAATCTATGGGAATAACTAAAGCAGAAAAATAAACTGACAATCTACAATAATAGAATTATTTGTTGCCGTCTCACCAGTATACTAATATGCTTTTATAAAATCTACATAAAAATTGATTGCTTCAGTCTCCTCAGCTGGGTGACTTGGTGGTGTGTTTATTTATATATGATTTATTTATTTTTTTAAAAAAAAATAAATAAATATATTAAATATATTTATACGGTCATGCAGAGGCCTGTCCATTTCTACTTCACTAGGGAAGTGTTGAGGAGATGGAACAGTGATGGAGGCACAAGGTGAACAAATAAGAAAAATAAAAATTCTTATCACCAATGAACGATTTATCCTAATAAGATTTATCAAATATATACACAGGTTAGTAAGAGGATACATAATACCTTTAATAATGATTAAGGTTAATTGCTAAAGTTAAGTTGTAAACTACAATGTAGATTATGTTAAACTGCTCCTCATTACTAAACATTATTTTCATTATTGTCAAGTCTTTAATCTAAAATTTCTTTTAAAAAATATCGGATGACAGAGAATGCTTAGTATTCGATGGCGCAGGGTTCCCATCTCAGCTTTCAGAATAGTTTCCGCGGGATAATAATTTAGAGTTACTAAAGCTTGAAGAGCATCTTTTTTTATTATTTTTTTAGTAAATTATAAAAAAAAAAACAAGCTTTCTTATGGTTAAGAGTGGTATAATGTTATGATGCTTAAAATGAAGTTCATTTTGTATTGTCACAGTGTAAGCTCTGATTTTTTTTTTTCATTAGTATTTCCTTCACGGTAGAAGTTCAAAAATTTTGTCAAAGATAATACAAACAAAAAGTAAAAATACATAAAAAAATAATTTCTTCAATAAAAATTCAGTTTTCATTCAAAATAAAATTAGTTAGACTAAATAAGTAAACAGACAGGACTATTATTTAGATTAAATAATTTTGAGCGATAAAAACGAATGATGTTTATGTGAATTGTGGCCAAAAAAAAACAATTATGCACACAGTCATGTGAATAATATCTCCAGCATCCCTCATTAGAAATCCCCGACGTGAAAATCTTCTTGTGGGTACGGCAATTCTTCATTTGAGGATTAAATCCATAGAAACTACAGGCCATTTGACAGCTCGCTCCACACTCTATAACCGATGTAGAATTGTATTCTCCTAAAAGTTCGTCATTTGATTTCTTATCATCCATTTCCAGTTTTGCAGTATATTTCCGCGAAATAATGGTAGACTGAGACACAGCAAAGAAGACAAAAATTAAATAGATAGCCCAAAGAGCGCCCATATCGTAATTTGTATTTTCGCTGCGTTGCTGCGTTTCTGTAAGAATTTGCAGTATGGTATACCAAACGCCAAATATAAATATCAAAACATATATCAGTTACTTAAAAGTGATTGGCTAACTGTTACGTACTCCGTGTGTTTCATTCATTAAAATATTGATTTGTTGAATCTGATAAAGATTACCATACATGTTTACTTTGCAAATCCATATATTAAAATGAAAGTTTTCTTCTAATTAATGCAAAGTTCATGTCTAAAGCATGTCTAATATTAATTCAGTGTTATGTGTTTCTGAATTAGCTATCCTTAAATTATCAAACTTTAAAAATTATTTTCTTCATTAGATGAAGATTTCCATCTCGTAATAATATTAAAATTTAAATATTTAAAGATCATAGGGACAAATATATCATTTAACAATAATATATCGATTTTTTCTTCAAGTGCTTCGACTTTTGTTTATGCTTTTAAGCCTTAAAAATTCTTCAGAAACACTTATTATTTGACTTATTTAAAATCTGAAAACATTGTCAAATAAAAAAAAAATGGAGAAGATGACAAGGAGTGGTCGATCTAAAATGAATACTCAACAATACAGATCTGTAAACAGGGCATAAAACTCCTGGAAATTTCAGAGGTGGGATCAGGTGCCTAGCAGGAGTAAGCATGCCCCGTTGTCCAGTCAAAGCCTCCTTTATTGATAAGTTGGACCGGTGGAGAATCAGTTGTCAAATTCTGTGTAAAAACAAAGTGTATAATTGATATTGAAGACGATCAAATGATAAATTGTATTTTCTAACAAGGCCCTTATAATGACAAATGATTTAATTAAATGTAATTTT